GTTGTCAGCCATCATGTGTGATTGCTCTGATAGTTTCAGTTTCAATTGCTCCATTTCTTCCTTGCTCGCATTCTCCCTGTCTTGGACATATTGTGTACATGCTTCACGCAGTTATATCCCATCTTGACGAAAGTGAACTGTCATAGCTTCAGATGTGTCATGTTGTTGACGAATGAGTTGTGATGCGTTCTCTAGTTCAGTGAGATACTTTCCCCTCATCTCCATGCTTTCCCGAAGAATGTGTGCCGCACCTGCTTCAGCGAGTTGACCACGCTTCTCCAGCTCGATGATCCTCATTGTTGAACCTTCGTCCAGGAGATGCGCCTCAGCCAGTGCGATCGTCTGCTCTTCAAGTACATGGTGTGCATCGATGAGGGAAACTCTCATGAATTCCATCTCGGAGTTGACATGTTCTTGATATTCTTCATGATGTTGATGTGAATAGATCTCCATGTTGTCAATCATCTGATCACGGTGTGCAAGAACATCCTGATAGAGACTTAGTCTGTTTTCCAGTTCAGTCCTTGCCCGTTCACTCCTCTCCAGCTTCTCGGTATTGTGTTGTAGTTGACGTCGAAGATGTGCCTCGCTCTCATTCCTCGTAGCGCTGGTCGATGGCTTGCGTTTGGATGAGGTGGTAGATTTACCTGCCTCATCCTCCCGCGTGGCCGCGCCCGACGGGCTTCGGCCACCGCCGTCTTCTGCAATGCGAGATCTTGCAGCCCGAGGTGATCTTGCCGATGTTGATCTTCTGGCACTTCCTCCTCGAACTACTTCAGCTTGATTGACCACTGTGAAGCTGCTTGTTGACGCTACACTTCCAGCTGCACGGTAAGACATCGTGCCGCCGCCGCCGCTTTCTTGGGATCCAGGCGTGTCATTGATCGCCTGGGCCGGAGCAGCATTCGCTCCGAAGGAAAAGCTTGTATCGTTGCTGCTCGACTGGTTCTTCTGCGACATCCTCTTGTTGTCAGTCCACCTCCGTTTTCCTCAAGCTCACGTCTTGTAGTAGGGCAGGAGGACCAGGATGCCGAAGGGGTTGAGGATAAAGTGGGACCACCGTACGCCCAGTGATGAGCGTACGGCTGATAACCTGTGAGTGGGTAATGCCCAAACTTTGTTGTTGTATTCCACCTTGGGCCTGATCTTCACCTCCTCAATGTCCCCAAAGCCGATCAGCGAGCAACGCGCACTTTTCCATCTGTGTAGGAGCGATATTAGTCTTGAGCCGCGCATAGCGGTCAAAAACAAGCTAAGGACATGATGCTTTGAATTACTGCTGGATTGTCGCCTACTGTGCTTTCACAATATTTATATTGAGAATAATATTAATATATTCAATGAATAATTTAAATATTCTTTTAAAATTATATATATATAAATATTATTTATATTACGATCTGGCTATATACAGAGCGCACATATAATTTTCCGAATCCAAATTTTTCAAAAAAATATGTTAATTTTGGAATTTTCACGAAGACATCTTCAACCTGTGCGACTATAAATTCAATCTGTTCTTCCTGATCCACCTGCGCGAAGGTCGAAAATTTATTTCTTTTTTACGAATTTTCGTTTTGTATTTTTTATTTTTTTTCCTCCCAGGCAATGTGCCACTAGGTAAATGCAGCACGGTCTGTCACGAACGGTCGGGGGTTCGATTCCCCCTAGAAATATCTCAGCCCCCTGCGAGCTATTGCCCTTGCTTACCTATCTTCTGCGCTATTAATTATTTTTTTGCGCTTTCTAGCAAAATTACAGGGATGTTGCGCCCGCCTTCTACGCCTACATTGTACTTGCTTCCTTAGCCTGCGCGCATTATTTTAGAGGATTTCTTTAGGATGCGGTTTTCGATAGCAATTTTACAGAGTAATTTTGAAATATTTTGAACAAGAATTACGGGGAATAATTTTGCGATTTTGCAATAACATTGACGAATAAATTATTTAAAGAATGTCAGTTTTAGATAGTAATTTAGGAAGCAAGATTAGGAAATTATTTTCGAAAATAATTTTGGGGGGAAGTTTGAGTAGCTTTCGGGAGCAGCTATTCGGAACTGCTCTTGATAACAATTTTGGGGATCGGCTTTGGGGAATAATTTTGTGGAGCAGCTTTGGGAAGAAGGAACAGCTTTGCACAGCAACTTCGAACAGAAATTTTGAACAAATTGGCTTTAGGGAGCAACTTTGGGGACTAGCTTTAGAACAATTTTTTTTTGGGGCAGCTTTCGGTAGTAACTTTACGGAGCAGCTTTCGGGAGCCGCTTTGAAGAATAACTTTGGAAATCTGGATCTGCTTTGGGGAGCAGATTTGAAGTATGCAATTTTGGTACAACCGCTTTGCGACGGATTAGCGAACATTCAAAAACGATTTCTGTTTTTCTCCAGATTTGCCAAATGCAAAAAATGAACTTTCATGTCGGGCCTGATTTCCAGAATGAAAAAAAGGATTTTCGTTTCGGACAAGATTTGTGGCATGAAACAAATGAAAAAAAACTTTCGAGTTCTCTAGGATCTTCGATCACCTTGGAGGTGACTCGGAGGTGGTTGAACTTTCATAAAGGCAAACTCAGCCTAGGCACCAACAAAAACAGCCGCAACCATCTGCCAAACAATGTCTCTCAACGATTTGCCAAGCAGCCTCGTCTGCGCAACTTTGATTGGGCTGCCATTCAACATGAATTAAAGTCTCAGGAAAGGAAGGGGCACCTATAGCAGCCGGGGATGCACTGCTGTGGATCAAAAATTACTGGCTGCATTTTCTAGGATGGTGCTCACTATTGCTCAAAAATATCTGATTTTGTTTTATCAAACATGCACTTCACAACAAGTCTGTTTTTCCAAACATGCGTTTCTATGAATTATGCGTTATCTTAAAAGTCATTTTAATCAACAGCTCAAACATATTCAAAACTCAAAACATATTCGCTGCAACACTGACGTTTGCCCGCTAGTTGTGGAAGGGTTGCGTATTCCCATAAGTCTATATGCATATCGGACTCAATATATTGTTCAGAGAGGGTGGGGGATTTGATCCCTTATGAAGACAAGTGGTGGGCGAACGTCCGGGTTGGAGCGAACATATTTGGATATATTTCTGGTTGGTGGTATACCTACCCCTCTGAAAAATGATGGACTTCGTCAGTTGGGATGATTATTCCATTCCCAACTGAATGGAAAGTCATAATCCAGTCATGTTCCAAACCACCAACCAGTGATTATTAACCATTATTAACCATCATTAACCATCATTATCCCATACTAAACCAGTGTTCCAAACCACCAACCAGGTTATACAGTTTCCATTGATATTCCATAATTATAGCTGGTGATATCTGATATTAGTACATTTAAATATTACCAACTATAGTAACTATAATTACGGAATATCCCATGAAAACGTAATAGGTTTTGTGAACTCCTTTTCAACTTTGGCGACTTCCACGGTCCCACCGGCAATCCCTCGCCTGGACACGGTCAAGAAATTTTGAAGGGCTACGTGTCTGAATTTACTGGGATTTCACCAACGGGGGGATAAACGATGGAAAGATATAGTGGGTAGAATGGGGAAGCCAACCAACTCAGTATGATTCATGTGGATATTCATTTTTTTTGTCATGCGGGTATATAGAACTTCATATGAGTTTTGGCTATCCAAAAATTGATTGTATAGATCCCCAAATAGCCCCTGTCTTCAGGTACCAAACCTATAAATGGACCTGCTCGGATTAAAATGGATCAAACACGCTAGACAATTCCAGCTGATGTCCGAAACTCAAGAGTGGCGAAACTTTGCGGCGAGAGGTCGGAAGCAATTCCCCAGGAACAAGTCTGATGTTTCGAAATGTTTCAGATAAATAGGAAGTAACTTGAGAATAGCCATTCCAGAAAATATCGCTTAACCATCAGGATAAATGTTTCGTATCAGTCTCCGAGAAATTCATTTTGGAAAACAAACAAGCTATTGACAATTGCTCTGATGTTTAACTCTTGGTGATTCAGATATTGCTTAATTTACATGAAATCACTCACTATACTGACTATACCCAAGCATTTTCGACCCTCCAGGATCACCAGCTTCAAAAAAGCCGGCAGAGGTTGCCATAGCCGGCAGAGGGGTTGGAGGTTTGACCCCAGGCCCATACAACACAGATCTGATGTCTTATTCATATGGCAGTATCTGGAAATTTTAGGGGATTTTTCATGGTGATTTGGCAGTGTGTCAAAACCCATGGAATCCCCTTTTTTGTTCACATCAAAATAGCTGGGATTTATGGATGTGAATAACCCCCTAAAAATGGTATTAATAGGTATTGATCCATACCCATTTAGTGGGACATTCATAAAACGGCACGTTCATAGGGAATGTTAAAGGAGGCATAGTCGGCGGTGTCTGGAAATGGGCTATACATGGCTATGCATGGCTATGCATGGCTATACCTAAAACATGCAGTTTCTACAGTAATTCTTTGGGGAAAGTGATTTGTTAATTCTATGCTATCCTATTCTGTTAGTGGATGTATTTTGAACAAAACCAACCAATATTTCCATCCAAGAGATATTCAATGACAACGTCTGTGTAGAAGGTAAAGGCAATCAGTCGACAGCTCAATTTCAGTCGACAGCATTGACACTTGGACATTCGCTTCCAGTATCTACAATAGCTGATAGACATGTTACCAGAACAGGGATAATTACAGGCCACAGTCATTGGATAATGAAGAGGATACAATCATATGAACCAACCAAGGTGTTTTTCATAGCTCATATGTCATCACAGGCCTTGGACCTTGGAAGGCGCGACGCTGGATCACCAGTTCCTTGGAACTGAAGGGGAACTTTGCTCGGAAAATGGACACCAAGACCGATCCCGATGCAACCGTCGAACTATACCGAAGTACCCAACCATCCAATCCAATGAAAAACACCCCGAATTTTTGCTGAAAAACAGCAGTAATTAGTAGCCATTCCAGAGCATTTTGGCCCCTAATCTTCACGAATTCAACTTTGGCAGCTGCCATTTTCATCCGCAAACCATCCGCCCAAATCGCCCTGGCTGGCGGTGGTCACCTCACAGGGTGGAAATCCATCAAAATGGTAGGCTGAACATAGCAGAACATCCACTTCTGTCTCTTCACCATAAAAAACGAAGTTTACATTTCATTAATATTAGTTTGATAGTTCAAAACATGTTCAAACACTTCACCATTCAGTTTTTCACCTCTGAAATTAAAGATTCCTGACCTGGTGAACACTTCACCTGGTTCAAACACATGTTATAACATGTACCATCTGGTTATTAAACATAGCCATGGGAAATGGCCCATTTATAGATGGCTTACCTATTAAAAATGGTGATTTTCCATGGCTATGTTAAATAAGTTCCGCATCCAATTCGAGATCCGCCCTTCCTACGACGATTTCTGACCTCTGTTGCTGGGCATTCCACCAGCCGGTCACCAGCACAGGTGCCACGCAGCAGTTCATCAAGCTCCTGTGGAACAGGATAGAGTGAAAACACCATCGATTCGCCACCATTTTTGGAAAACAACATGGTGGATATGGTCCATGTTTTCCAAAAATGGTGTATGGTCCATGTTTTCCAGAAAGTTTTTTTAAACAATGGAATACATCGAGTTGTATGGTTTGTATGGAGTTGCCAGCAAAATCAGCAAATTTCTGGACCAGAAAGTCGTTTTTTTCGATGAACACTATTGGAACACGGTGGCTAAAGAAGTGGATTGTCGAGTTACAGAAATTCAGCGATTTTACCAATAAAGTACGATGACTTGGCGAACAATGAACGCGCAACCAACCCCAATTGTGTAATTTTCAATGGTATTCCATCACAATGGTAGTTTTAGATGAGGCTTTTCTAGAGATATTGGCAATCATCAGGGCCTCCGCGCGTTAACTATCCCTTGAACAATAGAGATATGGAGCAAGGCTCCCTGGTTGAGAATATTGATATTCTTGGGAAATAAGATGAGTGTTTTACTAAAATTTAACGGTTGATATTCCCATGATAATGGTTCATATTCCCATGATTTGTGTGTGACAAAGACATGAAAGAAAAATGCAATCACGGAGATATCAACCAAGAACGGAGTTGGTAAAATCAGCGCAGCAACCATCAACGAAAAGAAACTTTCACAACTTGATCTTGAGAGCCAGCAGTGTGAATAGACTAGAACCAACCGTGATTTGAAAGGTTCAGTTGCGTCACACTTGGCTGTTCATCCCATTGTTCAGAGATTGTCAGCTGAGGTGGATAACGAAGCAAGGGAGTGAAACACCGGTGCTAAACATAGGGAATGGGGGAATGAAATCCGCAACTGTTAGCCGTCATCCCATTCCCTCATCCCCTATGTTTTGCACCAAGTGGATCCAAAACTAATATTGTCACTAGAGTCCAAAAAATCATCGCAAAAAACATCGTTTTCTTCACTTAAGATGCAACTTTTCTGGCACCAAGTCCCTCATTTCTGAAAAACACCGTAATACACCATAATTGCCGATCTTTCATCAAATTGTTGATCTCTATTCTATCTTTGGGAAAACGATCATAGATCGTATTTTCTATTGTGGTTATTTATATGTAGCTAATGTAGCTATAGAAATGGGGGAAATGCTGATATTACCATCTAGTACCATCAACAAAAACATAATTTCCCCAGAATTGGATTCTTCACATGAAATCACCTATGGATTATCGTAACCTCCAAACAAGTTAGGTAGTAAAAATCATTATATTGACTCAATATGGTGACTTATAATATAGTGACTTATACTACCCAAATAAGTCACTATATAGTAATGCATATTGAAAATAAGTCATGCATATTGACCAATCAACCAGGGTATTTTTAATTACTACCCAACTCCGGCAACGTCCTCCTCAGAGAGGTCGCCCATCAATTCAGCCAATCGTCCACGCACCATGGACCCCAGACGTCGCAAGCCTTCAGGTGTGTCCTGCGATGGCAGATGGTTTTGGGAGTCATAGCCTAGCCCTCACTCTTTGGATCGTATGAAAATACTTGAACTTTTAAAAAAAACATTTTGAATCATATCCTCAATTCTTGGATCAACTATTTTCAGCGCTTCGGGCGGGTTTTTCTTCGATGAATATCATAGCATAGCACAAATTTGCTCATGAATCCATCTGGTTCCATCGTTAATAGATGCTAAAAGTACTTAGATACTCATTTTCCGAGCATATCTGGTTGGTGGTATACCTACCCCTCTGAAAAATATTAGTCAGTTGGGATGATTATTCCCAATATATGGAAAGTCATAAAAGTAATGTTCCAAACCACCAACCAGTCATTTTCCGAGCATATTATCATCACCAAACATTGGAAGAAATTTGGTCGATTCCTCAAGTCTGATCACAATTTAGCTGGTCAATCACCATTTTGCGTGGTTACACCATGTTAAAACATTCTCTTTTGCCAGTTGAATCACAGAGTTGCTGGTCACATGCAATGACTTTCCATCTATATAATTCTTTGCTGATAAAACTTCATTTTTCTTCGCTAAATCGACATTTTGCCGTCTGAAATCATTATTTTAATGGTAAAATCACAAGTTTTCGCAATTAATTCGTTTTAAAAACACACTTTTCTATTGTTAAAAAATGTGTCAAGCCCCGATTTGCACCAATTTTTCGATGTAAAAATCCCTATTTTTCACGGTAACCTCTCCTTCCCCCCCACATTTTCCGCCGCTCCCCGTCCTCCGCCCAGCCAGAGCCCAGCTCGCTGAGCAGCCGCGCCGCAGTGAAGCTGGACGGCAGCGCTTTGGCGGCGTGGAGGCGACGGACGATGCCGCCTAAATCCCAAGAGATGTTGGGAAAATGGCCCATAGAAATAGATGGTTTACCTATAAAAAATGGTGATTTTCCATAGCTATGTTAAAGAGATAAACCATTCTTAATAGGTAAACCATCTATTACATGTTTTTTTTTTTAAAGGGATCTTTTAGATATCGTATATTGACATTAGATGATATATATCCTAGTCCATAGATCCCATTATATATATGGGATATTTTTTGTGATATTAAATGATGGGATCCCATATTGAATTATCAAATTTTAATTCCCATAAGGGATATATTAATGGGACGGATATCTATGGGATATGGAACATAGATGGGATATGTATGTATATATATATATGAATCATCATAAATCTATTGATGGGAAAAATGAATCAATGGGATATCCCATTGAAAGTCCCGTAAGAATCACTTTCCCATCAATCCCTAAATCAATGCTTTTTATGCAAGATTCATGGGATATGGATGGGATTCTTACGATATATTATTGTTGTAATGGGGATTGATGGGATCCTGATGCTATCCATCAAGGTAGATTCATGGTAGACCCATGGTACAATAATGATATACTGATCTGCGCAGTCAAAATGCACTTGGACATCGCACAAGAGCCATTTTGTGCGTAATTTACAGGTAGCCCGTGCAGTCGAAATCCAACATGGAAGTCATTTGGGATCATCATCCAATAAAAGATAGCTGTTATACGTAATACATAGTCGAACACTATCAACAAACAACACTTGATTAGACATACAGCCATATTCTATGGCTTGGTATCGGATTACAGTAATATACAGTAATCCTGGAAATTTTTCAATTGATATAGCCATCAAAAAGTTGCTGGCCATGGATTTTCTGAAGTTAGATCCCCATTTTTGTAACGGTTACTCATGGTGAACCCAACATTATCTCAAGCAACTGGGCCAGGCCACCCCGGGCCAAAGGGCACCTGTGAAGTCTTCCAAAAAACGATGTGCCAAGAGTGGCCGACAGCGCGGAGATGTCTCTTGAAAAATGCCTTGCTCGGCTCCAACCCTTCTCCAAAACACAAGGGGACATCGTGTATTTGATTAAAATAGACATCAAATCAGCAGATGAGAAATACAATAGACTCATGTGCGCACACTCATGTATTATGTATATAATATATATAATTATTATTATGTCTGCAGTTGTAATGATATACAAATATATGCATATTATACACAAGACATGTGTATAGTAGCTTCACGTAAATTTGCACTTCAAATGCTCCCCAACATTTCCCAGGTGTGATTCCCTGCTTGGAAAAGCCCAGGGACTCATCTGGTCTGCTTGCCTTTCAGCACACCAGAAGTTCAACGAAACATTGTCACCACTGCCTGTGCCAAACACGCGTTCGATCCGCTCATCCATCATGATCGATTAAACATGCAACGGGACTGACAGGACTGACAGGACTGACAGGACTGACATCTGAAGCCACAGACCGCGAGCAAAAAGAAGACGCCCATCATGCTGGTCTCTTTCTCCATTCTTCTTGCGTTCATCTACATCCATTAAAATCATGAAAAAACACAACGCTCTTTTCTGTTTCCAGAAAAAACACCATGGAAAAACCACCGCAGTTGCTACCAAAAACAACAGCAGCCGGCCCCAAGTGGCCCACATCATGGCCCACGTCATGGCGCCTTGTGCCACCTGATGCCACCAATATTTCGGCAGGTACAACAGGTCGCCCGGCTCCAAAGTGACTTGGAACGCCTGGACATCAGCGAAGTCATCGAATCCTGGGAAGGGCGCCACGGCTTCATCACCATTTCTGCGACACAAATATACACAAATCATATAAATATAAATATATATATATAAATCATTGAAGATTCAGATTGTCAAACATCTCATATTCAAACCAGCTTGAAATCATGGAAAGGAAAACAAATCCAGTGTGCTTTGAACTGTGGACATTTCCCTCGCACCAACCCGCAGAATACCGTCTGCTCGCACATGTTGCGATGGCCATGCCGAGAGTCGTTGGAAATCTGGCGAATCGAAATCCACCATGGAAAACGAGTCCAGTGGATGATCAATGGGATAAGGGTAAACCGCCTCGGCATTCTCGGCATTCTGCTGCCGTGTTAGAGATGTTAGAGTGCTTGTGTGTGTCGGTTCTTATCATGATCATCATGTATCTCAGTCTTGAGTTGGGCATTGGAAAAAAACTCGCATCATCATCTTATATGTAAAATTATGTAAATATAAAAATTGCACATGTTAAGACGCTTGCTTCTCAACATTCATCCTCATTTGAATGTTTCTCTACATCCAACAACTGCCTCCATCACCGAGCCACAAAGGTTTGGTCCGGAGGAATCAGTAAGAACGTCTTCCGGCCACAGATCTGCAGGTGGAGATTTTCGGCTTTGTCCTGGCCATGGCACCATGGCACAACAGTTAATGGTGGAGGTTTCCAATCCATGGTACCCCCAAAGTCATCCATTTTTAGGATTTTCCATGAAATAAACCATCCAGCTATTGGGATTTATAGATGGATTCTCCATGAAATAAACCATCCAGCTATTGGGGTATACCCATTTAAGGAAGCACCAAATATTGAAGCACATGTGTCATGGTCAGATGGTATGATGACCATTATTGGGAATTCTTAATTTCCATGTCAATGGGGGTATGGCCATTCCCTAAAAAACATAGGTCAACTTTTGGCACGGGTGTGTCTGAAAATGGGCTGCATCCACCCAAAACTGCTAGTTTATGCTGACGGAATTTTTACCGTCCAGCAAAACGCATAGTTTTTTATGGGGTGGGGTGGGGTGGGATGTTAACGTTCAGTGGCACTTCCACACACACATGATGCTACGCCACTGCTCGTTCTTCTGCAACTTCCACACGCACGTGATGCTACGTTGGGGTGGGGTAGGGTGGGGTGGGGTGGGATGTTAACGTTCATTGGCACTTCCACACACACACATGATGCTACGCCACTGCTCGTTCTTCTGCAACTTCCACACACACGTCTTGCTACTTTGGGGGTGCTTGTATTGGCTAAGGATTCGGTCCCAAACAATATCCCCTCCACAAAAGGCTCCATGAAAGTGAATCGCAAAATATTTCTATATGTCAGATCGTTCCAATGGCGCTGGGAAAACCCACGCGAGTTGTTGAAGACAACTGCGGCGTACATCAAGCAACTGTCTTGATTCGACTTCGAGCCTCTTGAAGAAAAAAAAACCGCTGAGGACGTGTCGATGGAAAAGTTAAACCCTCAAGTTCGGAGACCCCTTTTTTTGCATCAAAATTGACGTTTCGCTATGGCGAAACCATGAATTCGTGCTAATTATGCGGACGGTAAAAATTCCGCCGGGTAGTTTATGCTATTCAGCCCGCTTCGCGTGGGGTGGCCGCCCACACCGCAGGTTTATTTCGGTCCGTGAGAGGGGCTAAGGGTGGTTTTCCCCCGTGGGGGCTCCCCAAGCTAAGAATTTTCATTTTCCCCCCCCGTGGGGGCTCCCCAAGCTAGGGAATTTTCACTTTTCCCCCCGTGGGGGCTCCCCAAGCTAGGGAATTTTCACTTTTCCCCCTGGTGGAGGCTCCCCAAGCTGGGGAATTTTCACTTTTCCCCCCCGTGGGGGCTCCCCAAGCTAGGGAATTTTCATTTTTCCCCCCCGTGGGGGCTCCCCAAGCTAGGGAATTTTCACTTTTCCCCCCCCGTGGGGGGCTCCCCAAGCTAGGGAATTTTCACTTTTCCCCCCCGTGGGGGCTTCCCAAGCTAGGGAATTTTCACTTTTCCCCACCGTGACAGCTTCCCAAGCTATGGAATTTTCACTTTTCCCTCCCTTGGAGGCTCTCCAAGCTGCGGAATTTCAAATAGCTAGACAACGACGCCTAGATAGTCCCCCAAATCCCGTGTTCTTTGAATGTGTTTCCATGTTTTTGCAATGGTTTCCTTCAAAGCACGGTACTTTACACTTTTGTCGCCATAAAACCGGTCGAAAACATCATGTTCGACAATGCTTCCAATTCCCTTATCTCCCCAACCGTTGAAAATACCGCTATTTACAGTGTTTTCTTCAATTTTTCCATGTGCCAATGCCGGTAGCCAACTCCAACATATATATAAGAAATCCTTCCAAAACATTGTTTTTGACAGTGTTTTTCCAATGTTTCCAGTCAAACAGACGGTAATTTACACGTTTTTTTGCCATAAAGGCAGTAAATCCTTCCAAAACATTGCTTTTGACAGTGTTTTTGTAATGTTTCCAGTCAAGCATACGGTAATTTACACGTTTTTTGCTATAACGTCAGTCCAAAACACTTGTTTTTGCAGTGTTTTCAATGCTCTGGCATCCAAAAACCCTGCAAAATCTTGCTATGTACAATGTTTTTTTCATTTTTGGCCGTTTTTCCATTGCCGGAAAGCTACCAAAATGACCCAAAATTCCATTTCAATACCCTCTTGCGCTCAGACACCCAAAAATCCTCGAAAAATGTCGAAAACACCACCGTATTCTGGTCTCGGTGCGAAACCGTTTTTGGCCCCCCCCCCCCCAGCTAAAGCTGATATAGCGACTGCTATATTAACAAATGTCATTGAGCATTTAGTGTTGCTGTTTTGCCCCCCAATAAGCACGCCTTCACCGCCAAAGCGGTGTGGGCGGATTTTAATTGGGCATGAAATGATGACTAACTAGTGAATAGCATTGGGTTTTCGATTTTCAGACATATCCATAGAAATCCATATTCTTCTCAACTGCGCAATTTCTGGTAAACTTGCAGAACTAATTGACATTATACGTATATATATATATAGATAGATAGATAGATAGATAGATAGCTAGATAGATAGATAGCTAGAAAGAAAGAAAGAAAGATAGATAGATAGATAGATAGCTATATAGCTAGATAGCTAGATAGCTAGATAGCTAGATAGCTAGATAGCTAGCTAGCTAGCTAGCTAGATAGATAGATAGATAGATAGATAGATATATAGCTGCTTGGAAAACAGATCCAAGCTTCCCATCGGCACATCCTGTCGTAATCCAAGTGTCGTAGTGACATGGGGTCAAATTTCCCCCACGGCCGATCCACAACTGATTGTTATCCTCAGGGTCCAGTGAAAAACGGGCGCCCGGCAACACTTAACAGTGCTCCAGCACCGGCTTCGCACGATAATCGTCAGCAGAATAGATGACAAACCATATTTAGGGATATGTTTAACATATTACTGTATATGGCTGGTTGAAAGGAACTACAATACACATTTTGTTTTTTTTTGGTTTCGATTATGATAAACACTGTGTAGCGACACACATATTCCAGCCTGAAAAAATCCGGCTGGATTTGTGTCTCTGGTGAACATCTTTATCGTTGGTGGAATGCCCAGCTCGATTTACCCTCTGATAAACATTCACAGTTTGCGAACTTGAACATGGCCCAGTCGAAATAGTGGATAACTACCCATGAAAATAGCATGGTGGATCTTTCCCATCCGTTTTTTGGGACTGTTTACCAGGCCGGGTATCAATGTTTTCGCCTCGACAATCTCAACCGTCTCCCTTTCTGTTTTTTTTTCGGATGTCCAGCTCACGGAATCCAGTTGATTCTTCCTTTTTCAATTTCAAATCACCAAAAATCTTCCCGACTCCAAAAAATAGGTCAATTCCGAGAAAAAACACCAGATTTTTCAGAATCCAAGAAACATATATAAGCTTGTTACTTATCATCCTTTTTACTCCCATGGTTATTCAATTGAATCCAGCATTTTCGATGGTTAGCATCAATGGAATCCCCAAAATATCCCTTTTTCCAAGTTTCCAATTCGCCCAGCTCCGCCTCCTCTGTTAACTTTCGCAGCCATTGAAGGACACGCCTTCGATCGTCGCGCATGTCGGAGCCGTACGGGTCTGTGCCTTGGTGGCCCGGGAAAACACCGGGGGGGTCCTTTAATGCCCTGTTTTAATGTAACACCACTATTGGGGATAGTTATATTATGTGATAAGTCATTCATGGGGATAATATTTGATAATTAACACCATTAATGATATAACATGATATAACATATATAACATGATATAACTATTTTAGATCATATAATTGGAGATAGTTATATCGTGTGATGAATTCATCCAACAAATTTATACAACTTTGACCACTCTTGAGACGACCCGAAAAACATTTTAAGTGGCATCATTTTTCCGCCCTTGGTTTCCCCGTTGTCATCAGAGAAGCCGAGGCTTTCCAATGGACGTCCGCTGAAGGGCACCTGCCTTGGCGCGGGTTTACAAAAAAAATGGTTGAAACTGGCTGTTTCATGACATTCTGATGATGTTTGATGCTTTCTGATGATATTTGATGATACGCCACATTGAAAACCTACTCACATTGAAAAAACATTGAGACAGTTTTCGATGGATTTCAAGTTGACGAGGGAAACAAGTCCAACTTGCGCGTAAAAACAAATAACGGATGATAACGATATATCAATCAAATGCCTGTCGCCTTCATTCACCTTTCACTGAGATGGATTTCCTCGTAATTTTGGCCATTTCTAATGCGCAATTCAATTTTTTCTTGCCAGAGGGTTGCCAGAGGCTACTCCATGGAACTCCAAAAAATTGCTCAGTGCTGGAGCCAACTCATCCAAAAACATTTTTGTCGTGATATTATGTCGTGATCATCATCCCATTCTGGGCACAAATGGGGCACGCCCTGAAAATCCGAGAAATACTTGGAACCACCAACTCA